TAAAGAAATTGTGGTATATTTATATAATGGAATACTACTTAGCCATAAAAAAGCCATTGCAGCAACATGGATGGACTGGGAGATCATCTTTCTAAGTGAAGTAAGCCTGAAAGAGAAAGAAAAATACCATATGATATCACTTATATGTGAAATCTTAAAAAAAAGACAGATGAACTTACAAAACAGAAACAGACTCACAGACATAGAAAACAAACTTAGGGTTACTAGGGTGATAAGGGCTGGAAAGGGGTATTGGGAGTTTGAGATTTGCATATACTATTATATATTAAATATATAAACAGCAAGTTTATACTGCATAGTCCACAGAACTATATTCAATATCTTGTAGTAACATATAATGAAAAATAATATGAAAATGAATATGTGTTTGTATGTGTATGACTGAAACATTATGTTGTATACCAGAAACTGATGCATATTGTAAATTGACTACACTTCAATAATTTAAAAACTTAATAAAAATTTTTAAAAATCATGTAATGAGCACTTCTTGACTCCTTTTTCATATTTAACCTCAAAGTAACCCTATGAGATGAATACATTATTCCAAATTCATAGATTAAAAAAGTGGAGGGTCAGAAAAATTTATTCCACCTGTCTAAACTGGTGTAACCAGTAAGTAGTAGAACTAAAAGCATATTTCTGCTGTTTTAGTTCCAAGCTGTTAGCTGTCTAATTTAAGAGCTGAAATCTCTGGAAAGTGTTGGATATGGTTCACAATAAGCAGAATAACATTCCTCAATTTCATACTATATTATAAATGAGCTAAGGATTAGAGAACTTGGAGGCCAGAATTTGATCAACAAATAAACAAACAAGTAATAAAATCATAGGCATTGAGAGTTGAAAGGGTTATTATAGAGTATCTAATTCATTATTTTTATTTTGCATACAAGTAAAGTGAGATCCAGGGAAGGAAAGGAAAATATTTAAAATTGTACATTTTGATGATAGCAGATTAAAAATAAGAATTCAGGTTTCCTAAATTCCAACCTATTTTATCTTTTCTCTACATGGAATGGCTGATACTCTCACTTGTTACAAAGTAATTCAAACAAAAGGCATTGTTGTGTTTGCCCAATTGACCTATGATAATTACTTCAATAAGCCTCACTGTTTCCCAAATGAGATACGTCTAGGGAAATGAAGATGTTGAGAGATCATTATCAAATACATCTTTGACTCTATCCTATAGGATTGTCTCATATAAAGGAAAATCACACAAAGTAAAGGTATTTTTAAAAGAGATTTTTCTTTAAAAAGAACAGAACTTTTTCAAGCACCATTTTCCATACCAATTTAGTATGTCTCTCCATTTTATCCTTAAACCAAACAAGTAAATTATGTGGGAATGTGATAAAATGTATTTCCTGCATTTATCAAATTTCTTTGTTAGCACAAGAATATGTTGCTGCTTTTTCTTTACTATTTGGAAAGGGAGATTAGTTCCAAATATTTCTACCCAGTCCTTTATATTGAAATAAATTCACTCATGCATCAGGGACCCAATATGGGAATTTATGCCTTCTATAGAATACACATAGTCTACTAAATATGCAGAACTCACCCACTGAGAGAGCTTTGAGCCAATATTCTCACCTTATACAGCAATCAATAAATAGAAATTAAATTAAATAGAGTTGGGAGACCATGAATGGGAACTCTTCTGTTCTGCAACATAGCAAAGACCAACAAAAGAAGAAAGACTCTTCTTTCATGGCAGGGGCTCAGCCAATGAGAAGTCATGGGCCCGTTATTTACTAGAGCCCTCCCAAATCCCTTTATCCCTTTATAAAAACATTCTCCTTTCCTGGCCATGGAGGGAATCGCACATGGTTCAACATGGTTACAGGTTTCAAATTGTAATTCTTGCTGATGCCAAATAAGCCCATCTTTTTGGAAAAATATCCAGTAATCTATATGTTTCAGATCAACAAATATCAGTTGGGCCTTCTGACCAGTGGGCCACACTGGCATTCTGCCACCCAGGAGTGGGTGTTAGCATAGAAGCTACCTCAAGTAATCTCCAGAAATATTTGAGTATCTCTATTTGCCCAGAGCACAGTTACTCCAGTAAATGGTCTCAGCTCCCTCAGAGAAAGATTAGGTTGAATATCCATACCACCTATTTGTAGTGATATCACAGAGTTCTCATTCAAAATTACCTGGTGTAGCCTTCATTAAAAAGAAAAAAATCTCTGGTTTGGAAATTATCCACATCTGGTGATTGGATGAGAAGCCATGATTTTTCTGAATTGACTCTGTTGACTCAATTCAGATCACTGTTCACCAAATGTAGATTATATTTGATCACCACCATCAGCATCATATTAGTTGGCTTGGGTTTTCACAACAAAATACTTCAGAGTGGGTAGGTTAACAACAGATTTATTTTCTCACCATTGTGGAAGCTGGACATCCAAGAACAAGCCTGGACATCCAGCCTGCAGGGTGGGTTTCTGGTGAGAACTTCCTTCCCAGATCAAAGATGGCCACCTTCTCTGTCCTCTGTCCTCACATTGGAGGGAAATTAATAAAATGGTCACACTTAGGCTAACTGATTGCTTATTCTTATGCTTGTCCTTTACATGGTCAATGAACCTAACTGAACTGGTTGCTACTCATAGCTCAAGGCTCATTGTTAAAACAAAGCTATTAATTTTACTGTTTCTAATTTATTCCAGTAATAAAAAGTAATAGTCATGCTTGGTCTCTGAGTCATTCTCCAGGGAGAAGGTCATGGGACTGTAACCTCACAAAATAGTCAGAATTATTAAGAAGACCACACCTTGGGTGCTTAGGAAAAAAAAAAAAGAGCTAGAAAGAGTGACAGCCACTAGCCTCTACAGAACTGGTCACCTGGAGACACCATGATGCCACTCTGAATCTTAAGAGAAGAAAATAATTCTGTTGATGGTTATTGATGCTTTATTGTTTGAGCTATGGCTATATCATCACCCTGCCTCATCCCCAAGAGGGGTTCACAGTTTGCAAGGCACTAGCCTGCTGTGAGGCCCCTTTGCCTGGCAGAGTAATAAAGCTGTCTCTTTTCTTCTATGCTTTAACATCACATCTTTGAGTTTCAGTTCAGCGCATTAGGGATGGGGGCCAATTTTTCAGCAGCAGTATGGCCTTACCTCTAAGCAAACATCAGAGAGCAAGCTCTGGTGTGCTTTCCATTTCTTATCAGAACACCAGTTCTATTGGGTTAGAGCCTCACTCTTATTATCTCAAAGAGTACAAACTAGTCCAGGCCCTGCTGCTCAAGGCTTTCCAGCCTGTATGACAGGCATATGAGTGAAGGAACTTTTCAGATGACTTCTGTCTCGGCCAATTTCTAACCGCAAGCTTCTCAGACAAGCTGTGACCGAAGTCCTAACTGAACTGATCAAATTTCTGACCCACTGAAACCATCTGAAATAAAGTGAATGTTGGTGTTTTAAATCACTAAATTTTGAGGTGATTTTTTTTTTTTAATATGGCAATGGTGTCTGTAACACTGCCGTCATTTAGATGCAGTAGTACTGGCTCATGGGTAGATACATTAATTGAACAAAATGGAAAGCTAAGAAATAGAAAAACAGGTATATAGATTTTTATATGTGAAAGAATCAGTGCCATTGCTGACTAATTGGAAACAGAATTGTTATTCAATAAATGTACTGGGAAAATTTATTTACCCTTATAAGAAACATACATACCCATCTCACACTGTGCCTAAAAATGTATGCCCTATGTGGTTGAAAGATGTAAATATAAAAAAAACTTTAAAATATTTAATGAAAATTATCATTATACTCAGAGCAGAAAAGGAATTTGAGAAGTGCATGCAGAGTCATTTTACCCTGAGTCCAGCTTCCTCATCCCTACATACAGCACAGGTGGTGAATCCTTAATCCCAACCATGCTCCCTCTATTGAACATCTTCAAATCCAGCTGTCAGCTCCTTCAAATCTAACAATTTTTGAAGAATTAAATTTCTTTCTAATTAAAAGACTTACAGTACTTTTTATTTCCTTCACTGAAGAATAAATAAAACTATTGTTGGCATTAATTCAACGTGTCAAATATTAGTATTGCTAATTGCACTAAGTGATTTCAGTTATAAACTGTGAAAAAAATGAAGGCATATTTTATACCTGAGTGTCTAAGTTGTGGGTTGCATTTTGAGAAGACGCTTGTAATGCCAGAGCCTTGAAAATGATCTTTGTAATACAGTATTTGATCCCCAAAGCTGCCATAGAGGTATTGTAATCAGAGAAGATACTTTAATTCATCACTTAAATCAAGAACACATAGTTTACAGAAAATCAGAAAGGCATTCACTATGTAAACCAAAATAATTTGTTTCCCAAATATTAAACATTTGTTGCATTAAACAAAAAACTTTGAACCCAGTAGTTTAATTTAATGTAGGTAGATATGTGATATGAATGACTTAAATATATATTCAGCTACTGGGGAGGCCACTTGATCTAGATGCACAGCAAGGGGTTGAAAAATTTAATTTTTAGTCAAAAACTTGATTAGTAAAGAAAATCAACCACGTCCTACTATTACAGCATAAATTTCACAAAGTTCATTTCTTGTGGATTTATCCTCTGTTGTGAACATGTGCTGTGAAATTGTAAATTAATTAATTTGACTGGCACATTTATTTTTACTGTTAGTAAACATTTTTAAAACAATCTAAATTTTAAATTTCAAATTTCACTCTCTCAGACTAAAAGGGAACAAGTTCTATTAGCTCGTATTTCTCTACACCAGTATAGTACCATACCCCATGAACAAGAACTTAAAATAAAACCAAAAATTGCTGTCAGTAAAGAATATTAATACACTATGGATGCTTATATAAGAAATTAAATGTATGCAATTCTCTTGGTCTTAAGAACTATAAAATATTCCACTTACAAAAAGATTAATTTAATAGCTGTCTCAGAACAAATAGGCTAAATAACCCAAAGGAAATGATGTTTTAAATGCAATCACTGATAGTTTAAAGTATGCTGTGATTCTGTAAAAGAATGAATATCATGTCCTACATGAGGGATACAGCCCTTTTCCACCTAAGGTCACATTTTTATTCCAAAGTTTCTTCATGGCATTTTTCATTTCTGCATTTCTCAGGGTGTAGATTAAGGGGTTCAACATGGGAGTTATGAAAGTTAAAACTACCATCATGGATTTATCAATGGGAAAATTGGCATTAGGCCTTGCATACAGGAAGATACAGGGAACAAAGAATAAAATGACCACCATCAT